CCCACATTTTTCTCTTGGCTTCTTTACTTTCTTTTCCACGGAGGTAGTCTGCCCTCCCTGCCCCAGCACTCGACGGTTAGTATTTGAATTTCAGTTCTCAGGTTCGGTTTGTGCAATCAGTGTTCAGACTTTTCCTATATAAATGCTTATACACGTTTCTCGCGCATTGTGTATCCTCAATTGTGATTAGCCTTTGTTCAAATTTAAACTTACTGATCGCTTCTCGAACTTCGAAATATGTCAAGCCCATGTCTTCTTGCACTCACTCAGTTGGTATATTCCACCAAATGCGCTACATGTCATCCGCGGTTGTCACACCAACCTGAGGTTTGACCCTCCGTCACCCGTTTCCATGAGGAGCCCGTTCGCGTGAGAGGCCACGAAGCTGTCCAGGTGGGCCTCTCGCAGTGCTCGCCACAGGTCTTCGTCTGTGTGGCTTCCGGTGGGATCTAGGTTGCTTCGGAGGCTGCCCCGCACCAGGCTCGGGTCCTTTTGACGTGCACGGAAGAAAATTAGTTCAAGAGGCACTTGTTAGAACACAGCTAGGTTCTTTTGAGACCACTAATCTGCCTTAAAATTACCCCAATAGATTAATAGACGCAGCTAAACTAGTTACACAAATCACATGTAGTTATCTCATTAATGATCCTTATGGTTATAATTTTTGATTTTGATGCCCAGCAGTGACAATAAAATTTTGCCGGAGTTGAGGCCTGAGGGGCAATGATTAATGATTAAGAGTTGTACGGCAATGACAAAAGAAAGGAGTAGGCGATCGCCGTAATAATAAACCCATAGATCCGAAGCTGATCAATTATTTATCCCATTTTGAGCTCTTGGTGACCCACTGGTGCTGGAAAGTCACCGATGGTTCTTATGACGCCACTCATCCTGGCAAACGAAAAGGTCATATGACCTCACGTGCGGTCAGTTCTTGTGGCACGGGGACGGAAGGGGCGGCGTCTTCGGTCGCCCCCCCCCTTCCCCCTTCCCCCCCCCCTCCCCCCCCCCCCCCCCCTGTTTAAACAGAGAGAGTTTGGCCGTTTAAACTGAAAGAGTTCGGCTTTCTTAAGGAGATTTTGACGGCCTGGAAACCAAAGCAGCGTGGTCTGACCAGCGAGGGATGACCACTTCCGTCCGGGATACTGTGGCTCTGACTAGTAGGAACTTTTTGCGATTTCTCAGGAAGAAACAAGACAAAGAAATAACGCCATTTTGTGTTATCGCGAAATGCGCTGATTCTAGCGGGAACAAGCACCGCCCATTGGTCACTGCAAACTCTCTCAGTATCAACGGCTGTGCCCACCCCCCGCTGCGTTCACGCCGCTTCGCGGCGGCAGTCTGCGGCGGCTCGTTACAGAAATAAACCTACTTGGCACACCCGTAAGTCTGCGGCGGCCGATCCTACCCGCTCGCGGAACGATCGACGAATCCAAGTAAGGCCAACCGAGAAAACGCGGAGAGAGGGAAGGTTGCGTGGCCCTCACCGGCAGAGATGCATGACATCGAGATGTGGTGTCACCGGTGTGTCACATGAGCCCCGGTCGATGCCGTGTAAATAGCAGACCCCGCTTACGACCGGGTGCGCGGCAATGCAGGCGATCGTAAGTCGTCATGAAAGGCTTAAAGACTGGTCTCATCTCAGTCAGGCGTTGTCATGCGCAAGTGTGTGAACGGACCAGAAGAGAAAACCTGCTATTTTCCCTCTAAACGTCGTCGCGTAGCGCCACCTAGCCCGCGTCAGTGACGTAGCCATGCGGGTGCGTCATGCTGCGTGTCACATGAGTCGCGACAAGCGCGGCGACAGCAGGCGCCGACGCCAACGTACTCTCGTCAAGCTTTAGCCTGCTTCCCGCTTGGGGCGGGTCGGGGTTCCACTAAGGACGACGTCACGCATGGGCCTTGTCTACTAGGTGGGTCCCAGGCACCCCACCTGAGGAATCACGGTGACCGCGTTCCTGAGCCTCCTCAGCGGCACGGTGTTGATGTCGACGCCGTCGATGCGGATGCTGCCCCGCGAGCTCTTGAGGACACGGAGGAGCGCGAGCACCAGGGACGACTTGCCGGCGCCGGTCCTTCCTACGACGCCCACCTTCGGAAAGAGAGAAGATACAAGTCATTGGTCAGGAACGCGTGAGAAAGGTCATGTGTCCATCATATCACTCAATCGGTAGAAAGGCAGTTGAAAGTTTGATTAGTGCAGGTTATGATTAGGGCTCCATGTTTTCGGATGAATCCGAAAAACTCCGAAAAACACCCGCCGGTAAAATTTTTGTCAATTGGGATTTATCCTATAAACTCCGAATTGTTATGGGCCCATGCCACCCCCCCCCCCACACTCACACACAGAAACACACAGCCAAAAAAGAAAAAGTAAATTTTGTAAATCTCCTTTTTTCTTTTTTTACAATTTGAGCAGCGCAGGATCAATGGTCCTGGGAAAATGACACCATTATCTTTCAAGCCTCTGACCGTTGTCAAAAGGGGGTCTTACGGCTTGTCTTGTCAAGGTTGGTTCAGGGAAACAGGTCATCGTACCATTCGTGTCACGACAAAAGCCACTCTTTTGGTTTCCAGTTTGGACCATGGAATTTTGGATTTAGAGAAAGGAGAGGATATTTTTCTGGGGGTAACAGTGAAAGCTATGGACCATAGAGATTGCATAAAATAGAGAAGAGGGGCAGTTGAAACTTTTCATAACCACTCCACCTAGCGCGGCGGCGGGATAGGTTGATGGGATGACTACAAGCTACCTTGCGGCTACCTCCGGCATTTTATTTATTTTAAGGTATCGACGTTTATCGAAGCCACACTCCTGTGCGAGTTTTGTCGTGGGACAAATTAGTATTGCCAATAACACCAACGCTAAATTCAACTGAAGAAATCTTAATTGATATAAGCGCGTTTTATTTTTTATGTGGCATACGTTTGCATCCGATTATTATTTATTATTTTTTAATAGGAAACACTGCGAAATTAATCTCCCAATTTCGGAGAATTGGGGATTTACGAAAAATAAACTCCGATAAACAAAAAATACACTCCGAAAAACATCCTCCGAATTTCACGAAAAATAAACTCCGAAAACACGGAGCCCTAGTTATGATGACAGTTTTATCAAACGGTAATTAGAATTGTTTATCAAAGGCTGGAGAAAAATCGAACAGAAATTAAGGAACCGCTTTGCTGTAATCCCATATTTTTATGACATTTCTCCCAACCTGAAGTGATGTGCGAGGCGAATCCCGGACAAAAGCTCACCGGACAGAAGCTCACCGGACCAAAGTTCACTGGACAAAAGCTCACAAATTTTTTCACAGGCCCGGACAAAAGCTCACCAGGAGAAAATTTCATGTTGGTCTTAACACGAGTGCGGACAACTAAGGTGTATGCGTGCGGCACTAAATTGCTCCGATATATTAAATATGTCAGGCGCATGGTATGTTGATTTGAGTTCAAACAAGTTTATTTAACGATTTTTAAGAAGCGAATGCAGTTCCCTACTACCTCCAGCTGTCTTGGTAGATCTGGGTGTACCTGGAACCCCTCGCAAATACTTTTCAGACGCTTCTGCAGGCGCAGAGTGGTTTTTCGCACCCGCTTGACTGGGGGCTCACCCCTCCGGGTTTGCGTCAATGCCGTGGCAACGAGCGCCTGATCTTGCTGTAGGCATTCAATCAGCCTCCAGACGCTTGAATGGGCGTGGCCGACGAGCTTCTGGAAGTCGGTATTCCATCCTTCACAAGAGTTGCTCGTCCGGTCTTTATCTTGAAGGGGGGCGTCGTACATATTCCACCGTTCCGGGGTAAACTCCGGTCGTCGTCGGCGCACTATCAGTCAAAGGGAAGAATTCTCTCTGGGTGCGGCCGCAGAAGGAACACGGAAAGGGCCGTTGACATGCGGAAGTTAGTCCGTCAGACACAACCTGTCGTAGAAGGGACGCTAGCCAAAATCCCGCACAGTTTTTTAAAGTGGTCATTTGTCTTGCACTTGTCCAAAAGGCCGAGCTCCCGTTCCTTCAAAATATTTTTAAATAATCGAAACTCAATGGCTTGTATAATATAGTTTTGCTTTAGTTTCCCTTTCACATCACCCTGAGATAATCCTTGATTTCAAATACATTTACGATGCACAATGGCGGAAACAAATTAATTTTGTTAGCCATTCACTTCAAATATTACCCTGATCCCCCAAAATCCTATGCATTAGCACTTAAGAGATATTACGCCTAACCATTATATGCGCGTTTAGCGTGACCTAATCACAATGAAAAAGCGAGGTCACCGAAGGATGACTTCGTTTTTTCGGTCACGCTTCAGGTTAAAAACTTCGATTCACGAAGTTTCTTCGACGTGGCACAAGGGTTCTCCGGCATATTTTGAGTCAAGCAAGCTTGATCTTATCAGCTCCACTCAATTTCGGTCACCTAAATTATGGTTCAAAATCGTTGCTTCTCTGCCTGTCATGGCTTATCTGTCGACACCTTTGCATGGGATGGGGTACGAGTTCTCCTAAAAATGGTGCAATGTGCATCGGGTCCCCACTTTATCCCAGCCCGTGTTTCGCCATGGTAGCAAAAAAAAGGTAGGTGAGCTTTTGTCCAGGTCTGTGAAAAAACAGGCGAGCTTCTGTCCGATGAGCTTTTGTCCGGTGAGCTCTTGCCCGGTTACCGTGCGAGACAGTTTGGAGTGGACACGGTCCTTAGTTCAGATTTTAGGTTAAGTAAATTGACGCCATTTCAAACAGGTTTGAGTGATTGCAAAAAGGCCCATCGGAATAAATCGGTATGTTACGAGACTGGTGTGGCGTATAGGAAATACCATTGGAGTGGGAAGTTAAGTATGTAAGACAGACGTAATGCTGCATCAATGACAGATTAAACGAACATAAAAGAAATGTGAAGAACAAGGCACAAAACTCGGAAATCTGAAAACATATTCATGAATGTAACAATTGCACGACGCTCTGGTCGGAGACTGAGATCATACAGAAGGAGAGGAACAATGTAAAGAGAGTAGTAAGGAAGACCTTGCGGATAAAGTCTCTAGGGAACTGTATAAGTCAGGCTACGCTACAGTTCAAAAGGAATTTAAAAGAGTTTTCTAAAAATGTAATGTTTTCAATTTTGTTTATACTATTTATGCTGTTTGAAGTGCAGCCCTGTTTGTGATTGTCAAAAAAAAAAAAAAGAAAACTGTAAACTATTTTTTGACGTGTGTTGGCCCAAATACCGTTTCGGTATGTGTGTGTGTGCGCGCGCGTGTGTTTTGTAGTATGTGGAGCGGGCGTTGTCTAAATCAGAAGTAGGAATTGTGTTGAGAATAGAAGGGGAAGAGATCCTTTTGTTTAAGTTTGAAAGTGGATGAATGTTACCTTATCGCGCCAACCTGTGAGGTTGACAACGGTCTTGCATTGTGTGATGAAGACTGTGACGAGTGAACTAGAAAAACTTCGTCTTTTTGTTTTGGTGGAGGTGACCTTGGAGCTTGAGACTATATAAGGATGTGGACTAAGCCTAACGAGTTAGCTGAGTTTGAGACGTCGTACTGTCTATTTTCTGTCCCTTGTACGTTTTGATCCCCCTTCTCTACCCCAGCCTCAGGTTAATTCAACATGGTCTAAAAGCCCGTTTGTAGAGACTTCGACAGAGTCACTCGAGTCGAAGTAATGCAAGTGCAGAGAGGATAAATTAACGTCACGGGTGAACTTCGCTGGGTTAATTTCAATTTGAAGCCGTATACAAGGGCGGCATTTCTCACCCCGAAACGCCCGCTACGAATGTTTTAATAAAAGTTTCACGTCAGATCTAGATAGTAAGGATGTCGAGCGTTAAACATTCAACTTTATGTTATTCCTCAGACATTAACAAATAAAAAAAGATTAAACATTTTTGGTTAATTATCTAGCTAATTAATCGATATATCTTCTTTATTTAGTGGCCCCCATAGCCACCAACTTTGCCCCTGTGTTAAATGAACCTTCACAGTAGTTTCCTCCTTTTGTTTTAAACTTCTGGTCTTAAAACATTTTTAAAGATCCCACCTTCTCTTGTGGTTCAACGACAAATGTGACCCCTTTCAGGACATCGGGCAAGATCTTGGGCCGGTAAGACGTGGCGTAGTCTCGGAACTCCAGTCTTCCGTCCGTCGGCCATTTCTGATCCACGGACAGAACCGAAAGGACCTCCGGCCGATTCTTGTTATCCAGGTTTGTTTCTTGAATGTCCACGTCAGGCTAATATATAAAAAAAGGTCGAACAAATCAGACCATAGAATAAGTGCTGTAACAGTTCTGGTGAGCCTTAAGCTGTAGCCAATCTGCTCATACATCGAGCAAAAGATACGGTATTCGCTGCATACATAAAAGGGAGTTTTAGGAAACCGTGTTCGCACATCCGATAAGGTACGATGAGGCCTTCGGTACGAACAGCGCACGTGATACCGAAGACTCGCATATGCGCAGTTCGTACCAGAGGGTCCATCGTACCTTATCGGATGTGCAAACACGGTTCTCTAAAACTCTCTAAAAAGGAGTTTTAGGGAACCGTTTTTGCACCTACGATACGGTACGATGGGCCCTCATGTACGAACGGCGCATATGCGAGTCTTCTGTGCTATAGCGCATGCGCATTTCGTACCAGAGGCCTCATCGTACCTTATCGGATGTGCAAACAGGGTTCTCTAAAACTCTCTAATAGGCAGTTTCAGGGAAGCGTTTTTGCACATCCGAAACGTTACGATGGGCCCTCATGTACGAACGGCGCATATGCGAGTCTTCTGTGCTATAGCGCATGCGCAGTTCGTACCGGAGGCCTCATCGTACCTTATGGGATGTGCAAACACGGTTCTCTAAAACTCTCGAATAGGGAGTTATAGGGAACCGTTTTTGCACCTCCGATACGGTACGATAGGCCCTCATGTACGAATGACGCATATGCGAGTCTTCAGTGCTATAGCGCATGCGCAGTTCGTACCGGAGGCCCCATCGTACCTTATCGGATGTGCAAACACGGTTCTCTAAAACTCTCGAATAGGGAGTTATAGGGAACCGTTTTTGCACCTCCGATACGGTACGATAGGCCCTCATGTACGAATGACGCATATGCGAGTCTTCAGTGCTATAGCGCATGCGCAGTTCGTACCGGAGGCCTCATCGTACCTTATGGGATGTGCAAACACGGTTCTCTAAAACTCTCGAATAGGGAGTTATAGGGAACCGTTTTTGCACCTCCGATACGGTACGATAGGCCCTCATGTACGAATGACGCATATGCGAGTCTTCAGTGCTATAGCGCATGCGCAGTTCGTACCGGAGGCCCCATCGTACCTTATCGGATGTGCAAACACGGTTCTCTAAAACTCTCTAATAGGGAGTTTTAGGGAACCGTTTTTGCACCTCCGATACGGTACGATGGGCCCTCATGTACGAACGGCGCATATGCGAGTCTTCTATGCTATAGCGCATGCGCAGTTCGTACCGGAGGCCTCATCGTACCTTATCGGATGTGCAAACACGGTTCTCTAAAGCTCTCTAATAGGGAGTTTCAGGGAACCGTTTTTGCACCTCCGATACTTTCGAAGTATGTTTGCTTCATACAAATGTTTACTTGGAACATGTCCGTAGACAGGTTTCGAATGGCCAATGGGAGCAGAAGCCTCATGCGTGGAAGTAACACGTCTCAAAGTTCAGTGTCTGCATACCGTGTTTTGTGCGATGTATTCGCAGGAAGACTGCTGCTTTAAGGCTGGTTTGCAGATCTGCGTTCGACTGTGACCGAGTGCGCTGTGATCTCCTGTGACCGCTTACCACGAAAAAACACACCAGAGATCAGTGGCCAACACTGGCACACTTGCGTCATCTGTCGGATAGCCCTAGAACTGCGGATAAGCGGGCGGAAGTTTTTGCAGTACTTTGCGAAACGAAATGCTCGAATAATCTGCGAGAAATGGGCTCGATTATTTGATAAAATTGTCAAGACGTATTGCGAGCCCGTGGCCCAGAAATGCTACTAAAAAATAAACGCGCACTAGAAGTGTTTTAGGCGTACCCGACAGATGACGCCACTCTGGTTTCTCGTCTTAAAGGGTCACACCGAGAGATCGCAGCGCCCTCTGTCAAAGCCAAAACAAATGTCTGAACCAGCCTTGATACACTGTTTGCAAGGGACGTCTAAAGAACGGATCCTTTATGCCCGAGTCCCGCTAGAGCGACAAGAAGAACTAAACGACAGCGACAAGCCTCAAACACATGCAGCATGCTCGCTATGGTACCTTTGGCAGACGTTTCGTCGTTCGGTGCTCGTGAAGTAAGCACGAGTAAGTGCAAACTTGCCAAAGATACACTCGCGTGCATGATGCTCGTGTTTGAGCATATCCTCCCCTATTCTACAAAGCCTGTCAAATCGCGAAAGACTCTGGTTTGAGGCTTGTCGCAGTCGTTTTTTTCTGTTTGTCGCTTTAGTGGGAATCGGGCATTAGCACTCAACTACAGATCAGTGTGTGCTTTTGGGCCAAGAACAAATTTTTACAAATTGTAATTTCGATGAGCTAACACAAATTATACGCACAAAGAGTTTTACACTACCATTACGCTGGTCGTTTAGTTCGTGAAAGTATAGTTTGTACGTAGGTGTCTTTAGGGCTGCCCGAATCCAGCAAATCAAGTAAAAATAAAGAGCATGGGATGTTCGGAAGAAGATGGGAATAGATTTACGGATATTAAAAAAAAAAGCAAACAGCGCATAAAAAATTTTTGAAAAATTGCATTACCGAAACGCGATTAAAAATTAACGAAGCCTTCGTGTTAACATAGAATATGTATAAGTATGGGTCATTTTTCACTCAAGTGTACCTACCTCTTGCGGGAGTTCTGTGTACTCGAGAGCGCGCTCGAAAGATACGACCATTTGCATGCAGGTGAACAGGACCACGCACAGACACATCATGGACAATGGGATCTGGAAAAACAAAATGCATTATTTAAATGAATAAAACACTTGGTCATTTTAGTTTTACATTAAGTTCTCGCAGATGTTCTTTCGTATGCGGAAAACAGACCACAGTTGCTGTTCATGCTGAGTGATATTACGTTCTTGGGGCAGACATTTTATCTGAGTCTTGACGTTTGGTAGGTATTTTCGCTTTTCTAACTCGTGCACCCACATACGTATGGTCCACTATGGTAACGCGCTCGAGCCTACCAATAGGGAGTATTCACTGGACGCCATATTTGTAGGGGCTGTTTAGAGCGCATGCTCAGAACGAGCTCACATCAATAGGCTGCTAAGACCGGCACTCTTGATGGTGCGGAATGCACGTTGCAAAAGAACTGTGGAAGCTCGCCATCAGCACGCGCTCAGCTTCGCGCACGCAGCTATGGCCGACAGTGAATACTCCCTATATGCATGCGCATACTCATATGGGTGAGCGCACCTCAATGCAACAGCACTATGCTCTAGCACAGGGGTGGCCAAACTGCGGCTCTTCGCGGGTTCAAGTGCGACTCGCGGCTCCGTTGTAAGTGTGCCCACCCCCCCCCCCCCCCCCTTACCCCTCATGTGTCCTCAAAACGAAACGAGTTCTAGAATAAAAAATAGATAAAAAAGCAGCTCAGTCTCGGCAGCTTTGAACTACATCACGTACGTACAGGTGGACTGCTTTCTGACACATAGATGAGTCCAGTGACCATGTTTCCTTTATTGTTCTAGAATTAATTTCGACCCGTATTCGCATAACAGGCGTCAGGGGCACTGGCTGGCTAGCGAACCATGCATTTACTTTTGATTAGCGGTTAAAGAAACGTTCTGCTGCCTGGTGTTATTCGTTGCAGTCAACCATTCTGCTTGTCCTCTTTGGGAAGGACTGCTCTCTCAATATCGTTTCTTGCTAAAAGTGCTCCCCCCCCCCCCCCCCGTTTTTTTTTCTTCCTTCGACTCCCTGAATTTTTGTAGTTTTGTCTGCGGCTCTAACCCAGTGTCACTCTGGCAACCTTTGCTCTAGCATATGTTTCCGGTCGCAGAGCATGTGCTTGCAGAGTTTCACTAAAAATGGCTTGTAAATAAATCCAACATGATTTTGCAAGAAAACGTCGATTGTATATTCTTCAAATTTCGACGATACACAGTCGCTAAAACTCGGATCACGAGTAGATTACACTACCTCAGATTGCAGACCGCGGACTATGAATGTATAAAATTTGCAATTTTACGCGGATGACGACATGTAACGGATTTTGTAAATAACATATTACGGTAGTAATGATTTCCTTGTAATGCAAACTTCTTTTTGCGCGACCAAAGCAGGCGTGCTTCAGGGTGCGCTTCGTGGAAATTTTTTACGTCTAAAAGAAGCATCAAATGTAAACAATTTAAGAAAAAAAAAAGAAAAAAACAAAACTGGGTGGACTTGTCGTTGAATTGATGAGACGTTTGGAGAACTGGGCACTAGACCTGGAGCGGGTTGTACTCACATATACCACGAACAGACTACACATTCTCTTCACTGGTCAGGATAGACCCGAGAGAGGATTAGTTGAGTGCAGGATTAGTTTAAAAAAAAGAAAACAACAAGAGTTTCAGAAGTGTGGAACTACTGCATGGCGTTCACTCAGTTGTGATGCCAGAAGTGTTTTTAGAATTTTAGTTCACGAAAGGGGTTGGGAATATGCTAGCCACATTTCTGTTTTCTTCGTGAATTCATATCGAAGAAGACAAAACAAAGCAGGTGTTCTTTTCGTATACCCGTGTTCCTGTAGTTCTCTCTAAATGGAAACACAATTATTGGTAGGAAGGAATTATGGCTTTCTCTAGCGAAATAAAAATCAAGTAAATTGAATGTAATTTCATCACGTTTTTAGGTAATTTTCAATTCAATAATTACTTTTCCGCCGTGGTAATTTGTGACGTAATTTAACTACATTTTAGTCGCTTTAAGCGAAGTAATTAGTAATGTAATTTCATTGCAAAATAAAAGAAATTTTGATGCCTAAAGGGGTTAGGACACGGACATTGAACGGGTAGATTATTCTTCTAATGGGATGCTCATAGGCTACTTAGTATAAACACAAATATTCAATCTTTTTAGAGCTCGAGTAATTGCAATAATCAATTTACGATTTTTGATAATTTTCATCTGCAACAATGCCCAAGTTAGTCACACCATGGTGCCCATAAACCACGTGATCATGAATGCTCTCTCAATCTAGGCACCCCCATGATCTTCCAAGCTCGCCTCGCCAAGGTACGATCAAAACCTCTCACGCAGCTCGGCTACTCCAACGCTACTCTCGCTCTCGCCAGCGGCCCTTTGGCCATCCATTCTGCATGCGCCTGCGAGTTCTCCACTGACGACGGCGGCCACGGCGAGTTTGTCTTTGATGACTGCGTCGTCGCTGGAGCTGGTCGCCAGCGGGCAGCCGTCGAAATGGCTAGCTTCCAACATCATAAATAAAGGACAAGACGGACACCAGGACAAGTACTACTTTCAACTGACGTTTACTAACCGAAAGACAAGGAAAAGTAAAAAGGAAGTGAAGGGAAGGAAATTAGTAAAAAAAAAAAGGAAAGAAAAAAAAATGAGACAATATATTTGTGGGTGAAATAAAAGATGCAGAAATAAATAACATAAAACAATAAATAAATAAAAATTAAGTAAGAAAGACACAGTCAAATTATAAAGTAAAGGAAATATAAGGTTCAAGCAAAAAACGACACCAATATCATAATGAAAAAAAAAAAAATCGGGAATTTGAATTGGTTGTCTTACAGGGCTTACAGGGCGCTGTCGGAAATTTGTCCGACAGCGCCGGCTATCGGAAGAATGCGGCATATTTGTCTAATTATTTTCTTTTTCTTTTTTACTCATTTCCTTTCTTTCACTTACACATTGCCTTTCCTTGTGTATCGGTTAGTAAACGTCATTTGTGAGTAGCGCTTTTCCTGTGTCCTTCTTGGGCTTGCGTCTTGTCCTTTGCGCTTCAATATCGTTAAATATCGAATACTCCTCTGGTTGTCTCGGACGACATGCGCAAAAGCGCAAGCCACCAGAAGTTAGACGATCCCGATGCCACCGCCGGCATCTCGCTGAGCGAAATCAGTAAAGTTGCCAGACACATAAAAAAGAAATACCGCCAGTTGCAAAGAGATCCCACGCCAAGGGGACCGTATGTCCAGCCCACTGGTGCGGCGTTGGGGGAGCACGAGCATAAGCTCCCCCCTCATCCCTGGGATGCCTACGTCAAAGCTGCTCCGCGCAAGAGCGTGACGTTGCTGCCACGTGATGCGCATCGTGGGGAGCAAAGGGAGGATTTTTTCCCTTCGTGACTACACTTATAGAGCACACAATAGGTCGTAGCAGTATAGCTATTTCATATTTTATGTTTGACGTCTCCTAACCCCTTTAACACCCTAGTCGGAGACGCTTTCTAGCCGTCATAGCGAACCTAACATAACGCCAAAACTTGCTTTTCAGGTCATAAACGCATTTTACGTTACAAAAAAAGGTTTGTCACTTTAGTATTTAGAACCAGAACCGAGCACAAATTTTCATTGGGGGGGGGGGGGGGGGGGTGGAGCACGTCTACTCACAGATAGAGAAGAGCTGAGCGCTAGGCCCACGCTGCTGGCGCCGCCCGTGGCCATAACCACTGCGAAGATGAGGGTGGCGAACACGACGGTAAAGCTGACGGCGCTGGCCAGGAAGCGGCTGACTCTGTAGCAGCAGATGAAACCGTTGAAGGGCACCATGTTGGAGTCCGTGAGGCGGCAGAAGTGGCTGCAGAAACGCTCCACCACTCCGTACGACCGGATGCTGCTCAGGGAGTCCACCGTCTCCGTGACGTGCTGCAGAACTCTCGACGTGTACGCGCCGTCCACGAAGCGAACCTCGTTGGCGGCTTTGATGATGAGGCGCTGCAGGGAACCGACGCAAAAATGGTAAGCGGAAAAGTTTATAAATAAAAGCGGGTTTACACGCATGTGTCGGTTGTGTTCGCAGCGATCGAAACGACAGCAACGAGAAAGTCACCGGGACAAGTGTTCCCTGTACACAACGTGGCAAGCGATGCAAAAGGTAGCTTCGCAAAGCCATTACGAGTCACGGTTGTTCCGGTGTTATGATTGTTTCTGTGGTTCTGATTGTTGATCGTCGCAGGTGTATGAATCAGCCTTGAAGACAGCAGCTTATGGACCATTACACTAACCCCTCGGTGCGCTAACATTTTTGTGTTATGGGCACACCCAGTAGCTTTCTTCTGCAGAACAGCAGACCCTGCGGAAGCGTCCACAGTTCAAAGACTCAGCGGGAGTGTGCTATGCGCCGAGAAACGCCGCACGCGGATGTTTGTTATCCGATGTTTACATAGTAATCTTATTGAAAACGTTCAGTGTACGTTTATAAGAATCTTATACGACCGATATATTGGCCGCCGCCGTTTCTACAATTACCATTCCCTGCTCACTGACCTCGGTCTAGTGCCTCTGCACGATAGACGAATTGCAAGAGACATGCATTTCCTGCGTCAAATTGTCCATGGTTCTCTTGATTGTGCCCAGCTGCTGATGTCACTGAGGTTCCGGGTACCGTCAGGGAGGACATCAAAATGCAGAGACACGTTTTATCCTGATGTGCCGGCCACTTGCCCAATGACACGTCTGCAACTAGGGATGTCGCGAACCACCCTAGGTTCGATTTCGAAAGGTTTCGATATTTGCGAAGCGAACTGAGGTTCGATTTCGAAAAAGTTCGATATTTTCGTACCGACCGAGGTTCGATTTCGAAAAATTCGCAACTTTTGACCACAGCGGAGTTTCGAATTCGAAAATTTCGAAGCTTTCACGGTTTCTAAAATTTCGAAATCGAATATTTCGAATATTTTTTTACTTCAGGTTCGATAAATTCGAAGATTTCGAAATTCTCTGTAAAAAAAATTCGAAAACTTCGAACGCTTCGAATTTTTATAGACATGAAGTTCGAACAATTCGAAGATTTCGAATTTCTTTTTGCATAAAGTTCGAAAAGTTCGAAGGTTTTGATTCTCTTTTACCGCTAAATTCAAAAAAAAAAAAAAAAAAAACTTTGAAGATTTTGAATTTCTTTCTATACTCCGTTTCACCTTCAGTCCGAGCGCAGCGGACGCTAGGAGTAATTCCAGCCAATCCAACGTGGAGAGAGTGTCATGTGACCTTGAGCTCCCTGTGTCCCTCTGCCCAACCGGCAGGTCACGCGATTTTCTCCCGGCGCTGGATCGGCTGGGATGGCCTGTGGCGTCCACTGCGCTCAGACTGAAGGTGGAACGGAGTATAATCCAAGTTTTGAAAGTTTGAAGTCCGATTTTCAAGTTTTTCCACAGTTTCAGTTTCAAATAACGTTTTCACGACTCACTTGTTTTCACAAAATCAAGTTTAGAAAAGTTAGGGTGTGATATCTAGATTCTGCGAAGTTGGTCAGGCAATTAATTGAGACAACGAGTGTCCCGGACGTGCTAGAATATTTGCCAGTGCAGAATTGTGACCGCCAGCCTAGGGGGGGGGGGGGGGGGGTCTTTAACCTGCATCACGCAGTAGTGATTGCACGAACGCACTGTTTTACGAGACTCATCCAGTTCGAAACGGCCAGGGGCGAGTAGGAGGTTGAGGCTCAGAAAAACCTTGAAGCGACCTGGCAAACTACCTCACCACCCCTTGCACGCTGGTAGTAATTCGATCCGGTGAAGTTTATAATTGTCCTGGAGGTTTATTTTCTGGGACGGAGGAATCGCCTCGCAAAAAGCACGAAAACCGACACAACTCGGGGTCGAGGAGCGTTCTACCATACAAGTGGCGTCGGAAGAGGAAAAACGGGGGGAAAGAGGGTAGCGGGAAAGGGGGGGGGGGGGGGGGGGCTTCTGCCTCCTTCTTCCCCTTGCAGGTATTTCGGACTGTTAAAGAAAACAATACCTGGAAAGAGAGCCTGGTCGAGCTTATTTTAATCTGAAATTATTTATGCATATGTATAGCCACTGTCGCTCTTCACTGCATAAAAGGTTGCGTAGATGGTCATTGTTAGAAACTCGTTGTCAGAAGGCACTGCTCGTCACATGCTTAGTGGTTCGGAAGTTCAAAGCTGTCTTTTCGACCTAAACACCTGTGCCGATAGCAACAAAAAAAAAAAAAAAAAAAAAAAAGAATAAATGCGGAAATAAAAAGCAGGAAAAAAAAAAAAAAGAAACTATCGAGAATTCGTCGGAAGTGTTATATTGTTGCATATTCAGAAGTTCAGAACTTCGAAACAAGTTTCTTTTACCAAAATGTGTACAGGCTAAAAGAAACACGTCCCAGGAACGTGAAGCGAAAAAAAAAAGTTTTCTTTTAATGACGTGCTGAACCTGAACACTATTAGAAATCTTCTCCCATGAGTTAATTTATTCCTTAACGTGAAAAAACAATAAATATATTATTTTGTATTTCGCAGATGGCAATGATATGTACTGCCTGTGGTGTTAATTTAAATGCGATACCTCAAACAACTTAGACGAAAATAAATATCAAGTTTAGGTCATAATTGCATGCAGATACATGTTTGGACATTTCTTCGAAACTCACGTTGAATAACGTGAGTTTCGGCACTTACCTAGGCTATACATAGATCCTTCTTAAAAAAAGTACAACATGTCTACCATAAATAGCTCCGGCTGCAGCGTGCTTCAAATCTGGCACAAACGATAATCGTCAAAAACCCGTCGTCCTTCCTCGCCCCTTCGGGGATTTATTTCTTTAAACCTAAGCATGCCAGAACATTGAAATAAACGACATTGTCTTTCGTAAGGAACGCAGCACTGCGTGTAAAAGTTCGAGAAAAAAAAATTACGAATGTACCCCACTACTTGAAATCAAATGAAACAGTCCGCCGGTCTTTCGAAGTTCGACGAACGTCGAACTTTTACCCTGAAAGGTCGAAGTTCGACGAACTTCTGACTTTTCAGAATTCGAAAGTTCGAAACTTTTTGAATTCTCTTGATAAATAAATTCGAAAGTTCGAAATTCATCGATTTTTTGGTCAGTCAAGTTCGAAAGTTCGACAAGCATCGAACCTTGCAGCGCAATAAGTTCGAAAGTTCGAAAAATATCGAATTTTTTAGCGTAATAAGTTCGACGGTTCGAAAAGCGTCGAACTTCTTAGCTTAACAAGTTCGAAAATTCGACCTCCGTCGAATTTTACGATATAGACAATTCGAAAAATCGAAATCTTTCGAACCTTTCGAACCGCTTGATTCGATCATCGAAACTTCGATTCGAAAAAAGTTCGCGGCATCCCTATCTGCAACAGACTCAGGATGCCTTTTTTGGTGAAACCGACTTGGATGGAACAGCGCGGATGAACAGTCACACTCAGATGCACACAAGAAGCAAACAGACTCGCAGCGCTGTTTGCTTCTTGTGTGCATCTGAGTGTGAATGTTCATCCGCGCTGTTCCATCCAAGCATGAATTACCAACTTGCCCAAGCATCCACATTATCAAGGTGAAACAGACATTTTTGCCTGATTGTGTTTTTATTTCATACTTTTGTGTATCTGTGTACAGGACACTGCACTGCTGCTCAGGCCACTTGACTGTTTGCAGGCACGCAAATAAACCCCATCTATCTCTCCGTCTATCCGTCTCTCCGTCTCTCGGTCTCTCCGTCTCTCCGTCTATCCGTCTCTTTGTCTATCCGTCTCTCCGTCTATCCGTCTATCCGTCTCTCCGTCTATCCGTCTCTCCGTCTATCCGTCTCTCCGTCTCTCCGTCTCTCCGTCTCTCCGTCTATCCGTCTCTCCGTCTCTCCGTCTCTTTGTCTATCCGTCTCTTTGTCTATCCGTCTCTTTGTCTCTCCGTCTCTCCGTCTCTCCGTCTATCCGTCTCTCCGTCTCTCCGTCTCTCCGTCTCTCCGTCTATCCGTCTCTCCGTCTATCCGTCTATCCGTCTCTCCGTCTCTCCGTCTCTCCGTCTCTCCGTCTCTCCGTTTCTCCGTTTCTCCGTTTCTCCGTCTCTCCGTCTATCCGTCTCTCCGTCTCTCCGTCTTTCCGTCTCTCCGTCTATCCGTCTCTCCGTCTCTCCGTCTCTCCGTCTCTCCGTCTATCCGTCTCTCCGTCTCTCCGTCTCTCCGTCTATCCGTCTCTCCGTCTCTCCGTCTCTTTGTCTATCCGTCTCTCCGTCTCTCCGTCTCTCCGTCTATCCGTCTATCCGTCTCTCCGTCTATCCGTCTCTCCGTCTCTCCGTCTCTCCGTCTCTTTGTCTATACGTCTCTCCGTCTCTCCGTCTCTCCGTCTCTCCGTCTCTCCGTCTCTTTGTCTATCCGTCTATCCGTCTATCCGTCTCTCCGTCTATCCGTCTCTCCGTCTATCCGTCTATCCGTCTCTCCGTCTCTCCGTCTCTTTGTCTATCCGTCTCTCCGTCTCTTTGTCTATCCGTCTATCCGTCTATCCGTCTCTCCGTCTCTCCGTCTGTCCGTCTGTCCGTCTGTCCGTCTGTCCGTCTGTCCGTCTCTCCGTCTCTCCGTCTCTCCGTCTCTCGGTCTCTCGGTCTCTCGGTCTCTCGGTCTTTCCGTCTCTCCGTCTCTCCGTCTCTCCGTCTCTCCGTCTCTCCGTCTCTCCGTCTATCCGTCTATCCGTCTATCCGTCTCTCCGTCTCTCCGTCTCTTCGTCTCTCCGTCTCTCCGTCTCTCCGTCTCTCCGTCTCTCCGTCTCCTCGTCTCTCCGTCTCTCCGTCTATACGTCTATCCGTCTATCCGTCTCTCCGTCTCTCCGTCTCTCCGTCTTTCCGTCTCTCCGTCTCTCCGTCTCTCCGTCTGTCCGTCTCTCCGTCTGCCCGTATCTCCGTCTGTCCGTCTCTCCGTCTCTCCGTCTCTCCGTCTATCCGCCTATCCGTCTCTCCGTCTCTCCGTCTCTCCGT